AGATTGGACTGAGATAAAAATAGTTTAGTTCAAAGCATTACTGCATCCTTGTCAAAGCTTAGAGGAGTTACTCAGTCTTGTAGCCAAAGGGACAAATGAGAAACTTCACGATGAGGATGTTCTAAATAGGATGGTGGTTTCATATAATTTACAAGAGTTTTACCAGACATGTTGTATTATGGAGAAATAACAAACAGCTCTGCCTCTACATACTTTAAATTGCAGTTAAGCCCCTTGATGGTCCACCAGAACCATAAGGTCTGATGGTTTAGGAGGGGGTTCTCTCTCAGTAAAGTCAACACGAAGCACTCAAACTTAAGATTAATGTTTCTGTGCACAATATGACAAAGTTTCTTGCATTATTGTCATTTTAAAGCTTCCACAATTTGAAAACAATTATAAACCAATCTTGGAGACTTGCACCCTCCAGATGTTCCGGTGAACTTGCTGACTTTAATATGGCAGGGCAACATTATTCTTTAATATAAAGTGACCTTGTCTGCTTCAGTTAAAAATAGCTACATTTCTACACAACATCATAACATCAACAGTTTGGACATTAGGATGTTTTGCAAATGTCTCAAACCTTTTACAGTTATGCTGGCCCCCCAGCCCCCATCACGTTCACTCAAGACAGCGGCCTAGCTTTTTCTGGAAGTGCAGAGCACTACAAAAGTTCAAAGGGGACAGAGCTTTTTCTGTTGCAGCTCAAAGGCTCTGAAATCCACTGCCAGTGCACATTAGACAGGCCTCTTCACTGTAATTAGAAATGTGCACTGAAAAATCGTCTTTTTTCATTGGTTTTTGACTTGTTTAAGATTTACAGTATAAATTGCTTTCTAACATCTTTTATGCATCTTCGTGTATTTTTGTATTAATGTTTGTGTGTGATATTTGTTCAGCACTTCAGCATCAATTTTGGTGTTAGAAGTGCCTATAGATATAGAGTAGTTCAGTGGACCATTCGCTCCTTCAATCTTAAAAAAAAACTTGGTTTAGACATTTGATATTTTGTTAGATTTACAGATTAATATATTCTGTAAATATGTAAATGTTTCAGTTTAGAAATAAAGCTTGGTGACAAAAAGCTCAGAGGCAACTGGGCCATGCTTTTTACAATAAATCAAAATACTTTGTGGAATAAAGTATTCAGATACATCGAATTATGAGGTGCTGCCACTAAAATGTAATCCTAAATTAAGACTTCAGATTTAAGAGCTCATGGAAATGTCCCAGCTATTTTAATTATTAAAAATGCTATTTTATAGACATGGTCATTGCCAAACAAAGGAATTTATATTTGAACTTTTCAATTATACTTAAATCTGAGATTCTGCAAGTAAACCACAGAATAAGATGAATTGAAAGTATTATTAACTAAAGTTCTGATAAAGTGACAAAGTGTTTATACTGAGAATCTTTATTGGAGAGCTGTCCTTTAACTGTAGCTTGGACATTAGCGAAAGCTCATTAAGACACAGTTTAATCCCTGAGAAGATATACTTAGATAAGCCTGAGGCTGTGCACATTGGTGTCGATACACCAAGTCAAAAAGCAGACACCAACAAAATAATCTCTACGCAACCATTAAAAAAAGCTAAACTTAATGTGTGCTCCAAATAAGTAATGTTTGCATTAAAAAAATATAAAGCAGATATCTTTACAATTTTGAGGTGAAGTGCAATGTTTTCATCACTAATGGTAAAAGCAGTTTGAAACTATTTGTAGTTTTCTCAGAGGATCTTATAAATATGTGATGTTGAAGAAAGTCTTGGTAAATTAAAAATTAACCATTTGAAGCATTAAGATTAAATCAAATTAGAGTGTCATACCCCTTTAGGATGGTCCCTGGACTGCAGGAAGGATTCCAGCAGGCACCGCTCCGTCAAATCCAGTTTTTTAAGGAATATTCCTCTAAATTGACTCCGAGAACAGATCAACCCCAAATGTCAAGTGTTCAATCTGAAGGTCCCAACACTTAATCCATAGTGGATTTTCATCTGTGAGCAGAGGTGGAGCTCAGAGACTGCAGCTCAAAGCAAGACACACCCTCCTTTCATGTTCCTCCTCTTTGACAGGATCAACTGGTGCCAATGTACAAATTCTGATATGTTTGGAAATGTTCCACATGATCTAATGAAGTCTTAGTGTAGTAAATAACCAACAGCGTTTAGCAAACACATTTTGGAAAAAAAAAACAACAAAAAAACAAAACATGAGCCAAAAGCTGCTTGAGCCAAACAACCCAAAAGCGAGCAAGTTAAACAAACAACAAATTAAAAAAACTAAAACAAAAAACTCAAACTCACCCTTGCTCTCTAAAATAAATATGAACTTTGTTCTGCCTAATTTGCTCAGACAGTGCCATGATAGTGCTATATGTTACCTAAAAATATCAAGCTTCTGAGTGACATCACTCCGCCTTTTTCTCCCTCTGGTCTGTAATTGGCTATGAGGGCAACACCTGCTCTCTGCAGACAATCCACTATCCATATATATATG